ACATTTCCAATTTTAGATTGTTTTATTAAAATATTTGGAGAATCTTGGACTAAACTTTATGTTACTAAAAATTTTATTATTTTCTTTTTACTTTCATCCTAATTTTTCTATATTACTTCTTAATTCTTAACAAAATTTCCCATAATAAATTTTATGTAATAAACAAATTATACTCTATTTGAATTCATGCAATAAGACTAATCTATTCAAGAATAACATCAAAATAAATGTATTATTAAAGAATCTGCTGAATTTTAATAATTCAATCCTTTAGGACTTTCATTATTTTTGGAAGCTAATTGTTAGTAAGAAGTGATTAGCAAATAATTATTTGCTTAAATTTTGAAAATGATTGAAGATAAATTCTTAGAATTAGAATAAAGATTAGATAATAGAGAAGAAATCAAAAATATAAATACTTAATTAAGCTAATTTAAGCCACAAGAGTAATATTTTACATAAAAAGAAAATAATGATACATAATCAGAGCAAATTAAATAAAGTATTAAAGTTTTTTAATTCAGGAAAATTTAGTCAATAATCTGATATAGACATTTATTCTCCTCAAGCAGTACAACAGTAAGATACTTAATAGATAAAATCTTAAAAACCTTTAAGATCTCGCTCTTAAGCAGGTAGAGCTAATACTGAGTTAACAAAAACTGATTGTAAGACTAAATCTAATGAAGAAGGTATAATGTAGAAAATTGAATAATTTGATAAAAAGTTAAAGCTATTAATAGAACAAGTGAATAAAATGTCATAAAAAGAAAGTTAATTTTCCAAAAAAATTGAATAACAAATAAATGTCTAATTAAAAGATAATTAAGATAGACTTATTTAAAATGAAAAGTTATTTAAACAAGTTCATTCAACAAATTAAGAAATAACAGAAAATTAAAGAGGATTTTTATCACATTTATAATAAGTACGTTAGGAAATTAAGTAAAAGAAACTCAATATATTAGTTATTTTTCTTAAGAATTAACTCGAATCAGCGATGAAAATAAAATAACATTAATGCAATTAGAATAAAATTATATAGAGTTATAATAATAATTTGGGGAATCAAAAAATGAATTAAAATTACAAAAATCATTTTTAGAATCTATTGATAATGATTTTTTGATGATCTTAAAGAAATTTAAAGATTTATAAAATGATATTGCCAAAAAAAAATTTAATTCTAGTTAGTTATAATAGAAGCTTCTTTAATGATATTTTAAATAAATTATTATAAAATATTACTCTTTATAATATGTTATTTGTTTTAATAAAATATTCTATCTATTCATAATATTAATAATTATATTTTAAATAGATGTTTGAATAAAAATTATTTATATTAATTTATGCAACTATTATAAAAAGAAATTACTCAAATTCGTGTTTGTAATTTATACATCGTTTGAATTATGAATATTTATATTTAAATAAAGGATCTTAAAATTCATGAAAGGAATATAGTTATTATAAAAGTTATTCTTTTATTTGAATAACTATAGTAAATATATTGATTTAAGAAATGTTTATCCTATAAAAAATTAGTAAAATAATTTATATACGTAATTTTATGATGTTTTATAATTGAATATTATGATTAATTGAATTAATAATTGAAAGATGTTAATTTGCTATAATGAAACAGTAATTGTAAAGATTATATAATTAGTTTAAATATTTATTAATGAATTAATAAAATTACATAATTTTTAATTAAAAAATCCAAATATTATATTATTATAATTAATTTAAATAAAATATAAATTTAGTGGATTCACTAAAATCTTTCAAGAATTATTAAATAGCAAAATAAATTAATTTTTTTATTTCTAATAGAACGATGATAAATAAAAATAAAGTAATTTGATTAAGAGACTTTTAATCAAATAATATTTTTAAATAATAAATTTATGAATACTCATAATCTAAATTAATTTTCTAGGTTTTATTAAAATTTGTTTAAATTGTCGAATTAAAAAAGATTAAATTTGTAACATCATAAATACTAGAATATTTTAGTCAAATATTATCAATTAGATTGTTGATTATCTCTAAAAATTAAAGGTTCTGATAGTTTATTAAAATGATTATTGAATGATTTACAAGTATATTCTAGTCTTGAATTGAATTAATTATTAAATAATTTTATGTTAAGGGTGAAAAGAGATGAATAAGCTAAAGAGATAATAAATGTACTCCTTGCCGAAGATGCTCCTATCTAAAGTCTCAATAGCAATCTATTTATTAGGAATAGCTTTAATTGATTTATTACAATTATGTAATTATCAAGTAGTGGCTTGTGAAACAGGTATATAAGCAAGGGATGAACTGCTGAAAACAGAAAATGAGTTTGATCTAATATTGTTGGATTTGGGTCTGCCAGAGATGACAGGCTTAGAACTTTTGTAAATTATAAAAGCGTAAGTCTTTATTTGAGCTTCAAGTATTGATAAATTGAAAGATGTTCCAGTGATTATGATGAGTGGTGATGATGAGACAGAAACAGTTGCTGCTTGTTTAAATGCAGGAGCAGAAGATTATATGGTAAAACCTGTCAATTTTAAAAAACTTCAAGGACTTTAAACATTCGTAAAAAAAAAGCCTAAGTCACGAAATGTATAAAACTATATAAGTTTATAATAGAGTAACTAAAATGAGAAAGGATATTATACAATTGTAAGAAATATTGGCAAAGGTGCATCTGGTTCTGTAGAATTAGTAAGAAAAAGTACTGATTAAGAATTATATGCTATGAAAGTAAAATATAAATGAACTTAGGTTATTCCAACATTTTTTATGAATGAATAAGAAAGAAAAAATGCTGAAAATGAAGTGAGTTTATTAAGAGTTCTAACAGCTCCAACAATAATTAAATATTATGAAAGTTTCACTGAAAATGAATCTTTGAATATAATTATGGAATATGCAGAAGGAGGATCTTTAACTGAGAAAATATCTGAATATTCAAGATATGGAAATTAGGTTCCAAAGGATAAAATATTAGCATGGATGGCTTAATTAGTTATAGCAATACATTTTATGCATTCTAAAAACATCCTCCATAGAGATATCAAAACTTAAAATATGTTTTTGAATAAAGGTTAAATTTTACTATATTTTTATTAGAATAAGTTATAAAATTAGGAGATTTTGGAATTTCTAAGGCATTAGGAACTCATGCCAATTTTGCATAAACATTTTTAGGAACTCCTTACTTTATGTCACCTGAAGTCATTAGAGGGTAACCTTATGGCAAAAAATCTGATATATGGGCATTAGGTTGTGCATTATATGAATTGGTTATGTTAAAAAGACCATTTTAACATGACAACATTTAAATAATTTTTGAGATGATACAGAATAAACCATATGATATGGATTAATCTGTTGATTAAGATCTTTAATTACTAATAGAAAAGACTTTATAGAAAGATCCTAATAATAGGCCAACTGTTGAAGATTTAGCAGCTATTCCTTGTATTGAAGAAAAGATTAATTAATTTTATAAAGATCATCCAAATGAGAGTATAAAATTATTAATTATTTTTTAGCTAATTTAATATCAGTTAAAAGATTATAATTGGGTCCATAATTATAGCCTGAAACAACTGAATAAGTATAAGATGAAAATTATATTGCTATTTCTGCTGATATGATAGAGAAAATTTAACTAAGAAAAGTAATTTATGGATTCGTTAATTAAATGTAAGTATATTTTATAAATTTAGTGAATATATTAGTGTATTAGGTCAAGATATTTTAAGTTATCTTTAATAAACTTGGAAGAATTAAATAGAAATACAATAAATAGGTTAATAATTATTGGAATCTTAATTAATAATACCATTAGAATCATAAAAAGATTTAACTCCTAATTAATATTATTCTTTTCCAATCTTCCTTTAATTTATAGCTGCTAATAATTACTAAAAATATACTGGAAACTCTATAGATCTTATGGAAATATTAGAAAAATTAATTAAAAAATTTAGAGAATTTTAAAGAAAATTTGTAGATAAAAATAATATTAAAGAAGATATTCTAGAATAAGGATTTAAAGAATATTTTTAATTAACTCATGAAACAACAGAATTATAAAAATCAAATATGATTGATTATTCATAAGAAAAGAAATTAGCAGCTTATGTTAATATTTTTTAATTAATGAGATTTCATCAGTAATTATATATATATTAAAATAAATAGATCATTAACTTAATATTTTGTTAATTATCTTTAAAAAAAAGGAGTTAAAGAGGAACCTAAATCAATTATAAAAACAATTATTGGATCTATTTTACCACCACATCCTTAAAAAGTAGATTTCGCTTATTCTATAAATAAATTAATTACTACACTCCCTTAAATTAAACATGGAATATTAAGAAGAAATAAACCTGCTCCAAATTTTCATTAATTACCTAATAATGATCCTAGAATTCTTACTATTGATACAAGAGGAATTATATTTATTTTTACAGAAGAATATTAAGATAATTCTGTTAGTTTGATCTCTGAATTATAATATTTAGATGAAAAAAGTGTTTAATAATATATTCAAAATTATGTTAAACAATTTATACTGAAAAATGTCTGTCTTGATATTATTGAATAAGAAATTATTATACATCCATTATGTTAAAGTATTTAGTATGTATTAATTATTAGCTTATTTAAGTGATTTTGGATCAGAAAAATAATTATTTTAATGGTTATTAGAGAGAATGGATGATGGATACAATTAAGAAAAACTATTAAATTAATATGATTAATAAGATTTCTATATAAGATTCAAGAATCCTAATGATTCGTCAAAGTAACTAAAAAATTGAATCGATTAAAAATTAAAATATATATTTACACTACACATTTTAGTTTACTTGAATTTAAAAATGTTGCTTTACTTAAATTCTATATAATCTCTATATTTTAAATATTAATTGACATTAAATATTAATTTAATTGCTAAATACAGAAAATTTATATGAATAAAAACATCACAACTTTAAAAATGAAGCATGAATGAAGTTATTCCTATATATAATACTCAATCTTCGGCCAGCTTCATAAGGATTTAACATTAATAATTATCTAATATATGGAATCTTTAATTCGACTTAATTAACATCCAATTTTCTAGATATAGAATTAGTTTAGCTGAAGATTCTAACTTGAAATACATCATTATATAAATATATAGCTATAAAGAGCATCTTATGCTTCATAAATGCTCCTTTATATAGTAGTTAATATTTGATATATTCTGAATCATTATTTTTATTGATTTTCATATTTTCTTAATTACTTGGTATTTCTTATTTACTTTGATAATTCAAATACAAAGAATTGCCTAATTTATAAACTTAAACTTATTTCCCTCTAATATTTAAAGGCACATCAATTGTTTTGCAATTATCATATGAATGAATTCTTAATCTAATAGGTTACCATCTAAAAGATTATTAAATTTCATGACATGGAATATAACATAAAAAATTGCATGTTCTATCATTAAAATAAACTAATTCAGATAAAACTGTTTTAAAAGTATCTAATACAATTTAATTTTAATTGATATTCATCTATTTGATTATTTCCATCCATAATTTATTCTCGAATACACTATTATATTTACGTAATAATAATTTATCAAATAACCAACATGATTTATTTATATTATCTTCATTTAATTCTTCTAATAATTGATTAAGTTATAATGTTGATTATCTCTAAATAACACTAACACTAGAAAAACTAGATGTAGCAGATCTTTTTAGATTTTTTTTTGTTTATGTAATTTATTAAATATACAATTATGTTCTATTTCTAAATGTTTCAGGAGCTTTAATAATTAATGAATAAATCTTTTAAATTTCATTTAATTTCCAAGGTCTGAAGAATTATTCAACAACTTCATGTGGTTATTCTGGAAATATTGAATCTAAAAAATATTAATTCATAATTAAAAAATCTGATCTATGAATTGTAAAATAAAATCTACGACAATTATTTTAATTATAAAGGTAAATCTAAAAAAAGTTTTAAATTAATGTAACTGTTATTATAAAATAGCTTTTATCTATTTTTTTTACTTATTTATAAACAACTCTTGAATAAGATCTTTAACCTATTAACACATTATTATCATGATATTAATTTGATAATAGATATTATTTACGTATTTAATTTTTTGTAATAGGCATAAGTTCTAATTTAGAATAAGTCTAAGTTGTTTTTAGAATAAATTAATTACATAAAGTATATATCAATTTAATAGGATCTTATTTATCAATTTAAAATATAAAAAGATGAGATTTACTCTTGTTTCCAGCTGGCATAATTCTCATTAGCATTATTGAAGAATGAATCTTTGCAGAAACAAATACACATCCAATTGATTTAATTTTTGTTTAAATAAAATATTATTTTGCTTAAGTAAGTTTATCTTACATTAATAAAAATCTTGGATCTTTTGATTAAGATACTCGATTCTCATTTTAATACAACTTAAACCCAACTAAAGTTTTTTTTAATTTACTTTTATAATTTAAAATATGTTAACGCATATTTCCATCTATTTGAAATAAATGAGCCCATTTTTCTGTCTATTCAGAATTAAGTTAAAGGGATATCTTTCTATTATTATTATAATAAATTAATAAATGTGCTTTTGATTGTGTATTCCTAATATCTTGATGTAATTTTCTTAGATCAGATAGAATACGTAATTTTACTCCTATTGGTTTATAAATGAATTAATTTTATCTTATTAGAAATACTGAATTATAATGAGGAAATAATGTGATATCTTTAGCATTAATAGTTTATTCATTTGTTCTAGAAATATGTTTGTTCATATCTTCATGAGATAAGATTAATCTAAAAGGAAATTTTGGTTTTCTAGGTTGTTCAGGATCTTATAACATAAATTTTCCATTTAAATTTTTTAATAGATAACAATTTGGTAAATAATTTAGATATTCAATATAAGTATTGTTATGTAAGATTCCAAGTATAAATACAATATCAATAAGTGGTTCTCTTTTTTATTCTTCTACTAAATCAACACTATCTTCTTATTGACTATTACTTTCTTATGATAATTCTTTGAGTCCTTCTTCTATAAATTCTATTGATTGAATTACTTAATATAGTCTTTTATTTACTCTGAAGATTTTATTTAATTTTTTTTGGTATGAATTATCAGTCTCATCCTATTTGATTTAAATTTTACAATTAACAATTTATAACTTCTATTATAATATATTTTATAATTCTATTAAATCTATTATATATCCTGTTCTTCCTACAGTATAATTTATCAATTGTTTTAACTAAATTTCTAATTAATCTTCCCATAAATCTTTTCCAAAAACTTATTTTAATTATAATTTGTCTGATAAAGTGAGATAATAAAATTGTTTATCAATTTTAACCACTTATGTTAAAATCAAATAATCTTCTAAATGAATTGGTTTATATTCCAATTTTACATATTTCTTACTTGGTATTTCTTATCTAAAATGATATTGAGATTCTGTTAAGATCTTTTTAATGTTTGGAGCTGGAGTAGGATGATAATCAATAGGAGGAATATTTAGTTTAAATTCTGGAAAGTATCTTTACAAATAATCTTAAGTTTCTAAAGTAAATATATCTATTAATTAAGGAGGTGCCTCTTAATGAGCCATATTTTTCCAATTAGATTTCACAGGTTATCTCAATAAAGGTTAAATGAGTGGAGTTTCTGCTCCCAATATTAATTATCTAGATTATAATTCATTACCTATTATAATACCAGTATCTTTTAAAGAAACATATGGACTATTTCTTTATGAATGTGGTTGAGATTCATCATCTTAAGCAGGAGATGTTGCTTCTTTTATTATTGTTTATTTCCTATCTTAAGCTATAAATAAATGTTTATCTTTATTCCTTTTACGATGTCTCTTTTAACTCAATATTGGTTTGCTTTTCTAATTTTAAATTTCACAATCTAAATATTGAAAATAATTTCTAATTCTTTCTAATTTTTTTTAATAAATTTAATTATTATATTATTAAATTGAGACTTAAAGATTCTATGGAACCGATTTAAATTTATAACCATTCATAGTTCTAATATAACTCTTTCTTTTTATTAAAAACAGAACCTTTGATAAAAGATATTAATAGAATTGTATATTTTCTTATAATTCCATTTTATGTTCTCTAGTAAATTCAATATTAATGCTTAATCTCTTTTGATCTGGTGCTGTAACTTTACCTTTACTTACTCTATAAAGTGTTTACTCTTTCCTATTGTCTAGCCATTCACTAAATAAATCTTCTTGCATCAAATATATATTCAATAATTAATCAAATAAATCCATCATGTCATCATATGATTATATATCTTTATAATGTTCAACTAATGTATCTATTATAAATCTAAATTAAATTTTTCTAGTATGATTAGAGATTTCAATAGATCCAATTACTTGAAGGGCTGAATGTCTTTTTAAATTAAAAAGAATATTTTATATCTATTCAAGATTAATTTATTGACAATCATCATTTTTTGCTGATTTTTATAAAAATTATCCTCTTATTCTAGGATTTTCAAGGGTCCATTTAGATGTTTCGAAATCTGTAAATAATTTATCATAAAAATGTATAGGATACCATTCCATTGTATTTGCTGATTAGAAAAACTTAAATATGATTTTACTAGCTTCATTTTCAAGAAGTTTTTTTTCAACTATATCAATTAAAGTATTGGATCTATTTAATTATTATTATTTATTATTCATTATAACTCTACTAGGAGAATGCTAATGTTTTCTTTCTTATAATTCTATTTTCCTTTTATGAGAGTTTTAAACATATTTTTTTAGTTTTCCTTTAATCTTCTCTACAGCTTCTAACAATTTATCAATAGAATGTGTTTCTAAATATTTTGCTATAATTGAATCATGAGGAGAATGTATTTTAATAGGTTCTTCATTTTCAAATGATAAATTTTTATTTTCCTCTTATTTTGTAATATCTTCATCATTATCATTTGTTAAATTTTTAGTACTTCCTATTTGTTTAATATTTAAGATAGTTGGTTAGATTTCTGGAGCCAAAATCTTTTTTTATGAAGGTCTTTCAATTTTTTAAGTACTAGGAGTATTAGAAATTTTCTTAATATCTACTTTACTTATAATGTTGTTTTTAGAAGGTTCTCTAATTTAGGGTCTTGTAGGAATGGTGAGTTAAATTTAGTAGTTGGATGTAGTTTATTATTTTGAAGTATGTTATTTATAAAATTCAATTCTTTTAAATGGTTTATGTTCATATTATGGTCTTGTAATGAGTAATTCATTTGTTAGATTTGGAGGTTGAGTATCATCTAATTCTTTTAAGGCACTTTATTCAAGAGATAACATTTTATTATGAAATCTTTCAGTATTTTTTTTGGATAAAAATGAGGCACCCCTTGTAGGACTAGTTAATTTAGTAGTACCTTATGAACTAGTAGGTCTTTTAGATTGATTTTTTATAATGAATAAAGATTATAAGGGTGTGTCTTTAATTAAAAGAGTAGGTTTGTTGATAGATGAAGAAGTAGTTAGTTTATTTGATTTATCTATTTTTTTGGAAGGTTTTGGAGCTCTAGCAGAATCTACATTGATAATATAATTGTTGAATGAGGTTATTTTAGGACGGAAGGTTTTAAGAATTTCTTCTCTAGGTGTTACTTATAATTATTAAGGTTGCTCATCATCTTCTTCATCTTGACTCTATATTTCTATATTTACAGATATCTTATCACTTAATTACTCATATAATCTTTTATATTCTTGAGTTCTTTTCTCATGAATTCCAAGTAATTCTTCAGAGAGATGAAACGATTAAAAATATAATTATGCTGCTTCTCTGTCTTTATTTTATTTATGATATATTTTGGCTTAGAATGAGAGTGCTTGTAATAGAATTTATTAAAACTTCTTAGAGAATTGTTTTTAAAGATAAAAGGTTAATCCAATTTCTTCCATTAGATTCAACAATTTTTCATTTAAAGGCACAACATTTGCAATTTTGCAAAGTCGACCATTCTCTATTATATGATTCATGATTTAGATTTATATCATAATAATGCTTTTTTAATTGGTTTTTTACAATGGAAGTAATTGTATTAATAGATTATAGGCTTATTTATTATTATGCTAAAATTCTAGATACTCTGCATATAACATGTAAGTAGAATATTTAACATTAAGCAATTCCTCCATTTCTAATTTAGATGCCAATTCAATAGCTCTTTAAAAGTATTTCTCACCTTATTATTTTTGTTGTATTTAATATCGACCTGTTTGATTGAGGGTCTCTATGAGAGTAACACATGCTTGAATTGTTTATGGTGCATGTTCACCTAACTCAGAAAGAGCATCTAAATAAGAACGCTCAAGTTGAAGGAGTGACATTTTCATTAATATTTTATTATAAAAATTTCAATGTTTAATTTTTTCCATTATTTTATCAGCTTCAGAAGGATAGTACTTATGAATTGCCTTTTCAACTAAATGCAAAGGTAACCAACTAGCTAGGACAAGTAATCCAACATTTATAACAAAATTGACTGTAATTTCACTTAAATTGATGATGTCACGCATAAAATATATGCAGCATAAATATAAACTAATTGAGATAAATTAACTGATTAAAGTAATAAATTTAAAGGTCTTTAATTCTGTAATTACATTTAGTAATTCAATTACTATTAGAGCTGTAAAAGTAACTGTTACAAGTTACAAAAAAGTATTCTAAAAACATAAAAATGATAAAGCCATAATAACAGTGCCTTAATAGATACTTTTCCATAACCAAATTAAAAATGTTTTAGTAGTTACTTCTCTTCCTTTTTATAAAGATTTATAGAGTTCAGCAAATTCTAATGCTTTATTCTTTGTGATATCTTCATCAAAAATCAATGAAAATACTGGTAGTACTGTAAATACAGTTGCATATCCTAACATTAAATACCCATTATATATAGGTATAGCAATTCCATAAAATAAAAAACTAAATATTGCCTAAATAATAGATATTACTAATCCTCTATGCATAACAAATTAAGCCATTACAGATGATCTTTTATAAGCCAATCTTCCATGCCATAATAAAAGAGTAGATAAATCTTTAAATTTCATTATTGAAAAATCACTGGCTAATGCTGCTTATTTTCCTTCTTTTCCAACTATTCCAATTCCTACATCTGCTGCCTATATCATAGAAACATCATTTCCTCCATCTCCTATAGCTAAAGTAACCTAATTAGTATTTTTCTTAATAGCTTCAACAACCTAAGCTTTTTAGGTAGGTGAACATCTACAACATATTACACAAGGTGCTCTACTTGTTACATACATAAATTAATCAAAATGATCATTAAATGCAAGAGTCAAAGAAACTCCATCAATTACTAAGATAGAATTATGTTTAGATGAAAATTAATTCAAAAGATTTTAAAGATTTAAAGAATCAGCTTCTTTAATAGTAAACATTTCTTATTATGGAGTTTTAAGTCCAGCAGAAATACCTATACATTATGCTGTTTCTACTTTATCTCCAGTCAACATCCAAATTTTAATACCTGCATTTCTTAATTAATCTATACAATGATTAATATCTTCTTATAATAAATCTTCTACTCCAGATATTCCTAAAAATTCCATTCCTTATTCTAATTATTCCAAAACATGATTAACTTTAATTTCTCTATCTTCCATAGATGATTTTGCTTCCTCATAATCAATTTACCATTTTTTAAATTCTTCTGATGTTATATATTTTTATGTCATAACTAGTGTACGTAAACCTTCTCTACTTAACATTTCTGCTTCATCCATTAGAAATCCTCTTTAAACTTCTGGTACTTTATTCTTAATAATTTAATCAGCTCCTTTAAGATAAAAAAAGTATCCATCTATTGAATCTGATTAAACAATAATTCCCATTCTTTTTCTTTCACTACTAAATGGAAATTCATATATAATTTTAAATGTTTCAATCTTATTTGGTGTTTAAATAACCATTTATTCAGAATTTCTTGAAATCAATTAAATACCCATTTATTCACTTATTTAAACTAATGCTATTTCATCAGGACTACTTGCCTAAAATGATCTAACTCCATCTTCTATTATAGGAGTAACATTATGACATAAAGATAAACATTATATTAAATCTCTAAGTACTATATCTTTATTTCTTCTTGAATTTCTCTTTGTTTTACCAGTAATAATATCATGTAATGGAACAGGATTAGCTGAAAATTATCTTTTTAATATTTTATTAACAACATTTAAATCTTTAGTTGTATATGTATTACTTTCCAATGCTAATTTTTTAAATGTCATACAATTTTATGTTAAAGTACCAGTTTTATCACTAAGTATATAATGTACTCTTCCTAATTCTTCTGGAATTTAAGAATTTCTAGCCATAGCTCCAGCTATATCTTTATCAGAATTAATCTTCATTGAAAATACTAATTTAGAGAAATCAAGATTAACTCTTAATGAAATTGGTATTATACTTGATAATAACAACACATATCTAAAAAATTATAATAAGTTAATTAAGACATCATTATCAGGTGTTAGTATCAAAATACCACCTGCTAATATACACATGAAACCAAACAATACTTTAGATAAAAAGTTTAATTCCTAATCCAATCTACCCATTTTTAATCTACTTTTTCTTTAATTCATTTATGATCTACATTCTCTACCTGTATAAATAACAACACATGTCACTTTACCAGCTGCTACATAAGTATTTGCCCATAAAGTATTATCAATTGATACAGATTCTTTATCTTCATCTATTTTAATTCTTCCTTTAAAATCATATATATCTAATTTTGGAGCCTCTACAATTAAAGTACTACCAAAAAACTATCCAATTTAAGTTAATTTTAATGCACTTCTTAATTTCCAATCTGTTTCTCCATCTAATTAATCTGTTCTAATGAATACTGTCCCACTCTTTTCTGAAGTCCTTAACAATACACAATCAGCTGGTACTCTTTAATTTGCATGTACTTCTATAATATCTCCTACTCTTAATTAAGATGATTTAATAGAAATCACATCATTCTATAAAACTTTACTATACAATTATGAATTGGCTTCCCTATCTCTTAAAAATCTTTTAAAATCATCATAAGCTTCTTTAATTAAAGTAAGAGTGAGGACCTTTGATAAGATCAATAATGTTTACAAATACAAGTGGAGCCACATAAGAAAATAGGAATCCTACTTTTAAGGGTTCTATAAATTGAGATAGAGTGATTAAAAGGAAAAACAAATTGAAAAAGTACCTAAATTAATCAAATAGCACAATAGGAATGAATGTAATAATGCTATATTTTTAATTTTTTACTATATTTGGAATTGATTATGGTTGTTTCTCTCCTGTAATTTCTATTATCCTTGCATCATCACTTACTTTTTGTTTTCCAAAAATATCTATAGCCTTCAAAATTAGACTTCTTGTATCTGAAATATATATATATATATAGATCCAATACCTATTTTATCATTGAAACTATCGCATTCCTATTCAAGTTTACGATCCAAGAATTTATCATCATCAACTCGCTCAACCATCTCTATAAGTAAATTAGTGGAATGTGCCTATTTAAACATTATTAATTTAGTAATATAAAAATTATCAACTATCCACAAATGACAAACTTAATCTCTAATATTCTTTTCCAATAATATCAAATTCATCTATATCTTATTTATTATATAAATCTTTTGATTCAATCATCTCCTTCTCTTTTATTGTTGATAAAAATGGTAACAATATCAAAATATATATACTAGTCATTGTTATCATTATCCATAAATTTTCAAATGATGATTCATTTATATCTATTATATATAAACAAACACATTTTATACTTAAAAAATACATCAATATCCCTCCAATCTATCTAGCTATCAATTATCCTAAATTTATTGTTGACATCAATAATGCATACATAGTACCTTCTATTTTAGATGGACAAATCTTGCATGCCAAAACTAAAATAGGAAGCATATTCAATTCAGCTATCAATTGCATTAATAATGTATCACATAGTGAAAATACTTCATCTTTTATTCCTAATTCTACATTTCTTCTTGTTACTTATATTATTTGTAAGGCATTTACAACACTATAAGTTAATGTTGTAACAAAGAACACTGATTTGAATGAAAAGTTTTTTAGATATCTATTAAATATACTCACAGCTGTGATATTAGCCAAAGCAAATAGAAACTTAATCTTACCCAAAAATTCTGCTGTATAATGCAAATAAACAGTTTAAAAATAAAACATAGCAGTTGAAGTTGATGGTTACAACATAAAACAAAATATAAACACTATTGGTTTGTATATAGCTTTGATATTTAGAAATTAATGTAATTCTTATAATTACTTCTTAATATCAGTATCTTTATGTTAACCCTCATTCAAAAATAGTGAAGCTCCAGCAATTATCAAAGGAAATAATGAAGTTATCCTAAAAACTATAATAAATATTGTCCTTACTTTATTATTTCTGTAAATATTTTAATGAATAACCACTAAGATAGCTAGTCATAAGAGTTCCAAATGCTTTAAATCCAAAAAATAAACTGACATTGTTGGTTGAACTATCATTTCCAGTTGAGATCTCAACTAATAGAGCCTCTTCATTGTTATATAATAATACCTGCAACAACATTACAAAATGCTATACAAATTTGAATGCTCAATAAAATAGACACACCTGCTACTGCATCTTTTGTTCCATATATGGAGAGAGCATAAAATAACACAAATCCCATTAACCCAAATATAAAAAGGTAGCTCTTTCTTCTGTAATTGTATATTGGTAGTAAATCTGTACAGAGACCCCAAATAGGTTTAATTACCCAAGGTATACTGATAATACCTTATATGTATGTCATTTCTGTGGGATTCATTCCATAATCCTCTTTCAATAAGTATGATATGGCCAATTCTGATAGGTTAATCACTCCTTGAGAGAATGCCACTAAACATATAACAGCATATGTGGAATGTGATTACTTGATCATATATTTCGAATATTATATATTTTAATTTTGATAATAAAACGAATTTCAATCATAAATCTATTAAATTACACATTCTCTAAGTTATCTAACATTCTTAAGAATCAATAGAATAGGTAAACATAATGCATTAGCTATTATTTAAATATATCTAAAATAAGTAAAACATTATTTTTCTAAATCTTTACATTAAAACAAATAATCAATCTATTATACTCCACACAAAGACACAAAAGTTAAATTTAAAGTATATGAAATACCTTTATAAGGTAATTGTTAAGTAATAAATGAATTAAGACCTATGAAATAAGTGCTGTAACTATATAACATTGCAAAAGTAATGTAAATTTCTT